CCACATGCATGATTCATCCATCACATGCAAGTCACAACCCATCAGCTAAGATAGACACATATTATGAATTAAAATAAATAGACTTATATATGCACATTTATAATATATTTTCAAATACAAAAAAATAGTTTACATTATGAATTGATATGAGTTGATATTTGTTTTTTATAAGATTGTTATCTTTTATTATTTTTATAGAATATTTTTTGTTAATATATTATTTATATATATATGAATGAATATGATTATTATCTTTTAGAGGTATTTATTTGAATATTGATTATTACAAAAAAATATAATGTATCCAAGATGATAAAAAAAAAAATAGATATTTTTCAAAAAAATAAAAAATAAAAAAACACTAAGCATTTAAAATAGATAAAAAAAATATTATAACAAAAAAATATTGAATACTAAACTATAATAAATGTTAATTAATCTTCATAAACTAATTTGATAAACTTATAGTTAATTACATATCTTCAAGATGATAATTATAAGAAATAGAACTTATAAGAAATATTCCACACATGAAACTTTTTCAGGTTTCTTAGAAATTGATAAAAAGTAAAAAAAGTAGAAACCATACTCTAAAAGTAAACAATCCAATAATCGACTGGTGCTAATGGTTTGATTTCCTTTGAACTTGAAGATTTCAGCACATTTACATTATCCTGCGACAGTAATCCAACCACTAGTGCTAATGGTGTTTAATGTACATGGTAACTATTTCGCGGTGGAAGAGGGGGGGAAAAAAATAACGTCCTCTCACATTTCCACCCTATCAATTCCACTTGCATCCTCATCCTCAGAGCTGAACTCACCTCTAGATATGATATTCATGACAGTCTTCGTAGCACGACCAACAGCACGAGATGTTTTCTTTGCAGCACCAGCAAGAACAGGTTGCAATGAGATGATAGGCAAGCTTGCACGCTCCTGAATCATAGCTGTACAATAAATATACAGGTACATCAGTAAGACCCCATTGTATATGGAGAAGAATGTTGAGTAAATTGTTAGGATTATTCAGCAGTTAAAAATAAAAAAATAAGAAGAGCAAATTACATATTGTTTGTTGGCGAGCAAGCGCACTCATTTGTCGAATTCCAGTCTCAGCTGCTTGCATGGCTTGGGCTGATTTGTTGACCCCATCGGCTATCTCTTGGCTGAGTACAATTAAAATAAGCATATCAAGGCTATAAATCATGACAGACCATGAGAAACCTATGAAACAAGAGATAGCATATTAAATACGGAAAAAACATTTTGCCCTGTAACTGGTGTACAACTTGAGAAATTCAGCTGTTCCTTAATCTCGATCCTGCTTTTGCTCGAGGGAAGACTAACTTTTGCTCGTAATTTAACATCTAACAATCAACCAATCAACTATCTAATACTGTGAGATATCATCTAGTTGGGAGTCTTTTCTTTAATGAAAGAAAGACCGTGTATGTATTATGCATACGTGAACTTGTGCATGCTCAAACAGCTGAAAATGAAAGCTTTATCTTGTGCAACAGTAGAAGGATGTCAAATTCAAGCGCCCTAAATGCACTCAGAAAGGTGATACTGTTGTGATTGGAAGTAATGATTGTTCCACATAAATGCCAGGTATTTCTGGTTCATTTTATTGCCTTTTTCCAATTAATGTTTTCAGGTCTACATAGTGCAAAACTTTCAATTCTTACTAATTGCAAAGAAATTTACTAAAAGCTTATTCTGGTCAGTCTTTGTCTTTTCCAGCACGGACATCTTACCACCTTCATTGCATATCACTGGGCAGAGAAACAGAATTGAGAAAGCAAACAAGATTCAAACACATGCATAAAAGCATAAAAAATAAGAACTTAATAATCTATTTATCAATAGACCAAAAAGACTTGAAAAACAAAATCATTTAAATTGTCACCTTAAATCACTCAGTTCAAGTGTAAGATCACTTATTTCCATGCCTGAAAGTCTAATTGCAGCCATGGTACTAGGTAGCTCCTCACGAGCTGTATCTGCAAGCTTTGAAAGAGAGGTAGCAGCTCTGCCCATTGCCTAAGGAACATTTGAGAAACCAAACAAGAAAAGTTATTATTTATAAATAAATAAATAAAACTCATTACTGAAGCAGAAAAAATGAGATCTATTATTACCATCATTAAAAAACAGAACTAACAATTTGAACTTCAAAAGAAGCAAGTTCTAAGCCAATCCTAGAGCATTGAATCATGGAGTATATTATCCATATTGGTAACAATGTGCAACAATTGGAGAGTGCTAGGAACTTCATGGTCCCTGAAATTTCATTTAACTATTGATTTGATCCCAGGTTTCGATGTGCATAGTATCCACAATTATATTTTTTTGTGGTGTCCGTTTGTGCACCAACTGTGAAATCTGACTCACGTTTTATTGGGGTTGAATTTAGTCATAGCCAGATTTGTGAAGGAAGAGCGTTGTACTTGGGGATGCATTCACGAGGATAAGAGGTTAAACTTATTCCCCAGGCTACCTTTTGAGTCATCTACAATGAGAGGAATACAAAGACTTATATTTCCATCCATGCTAGTCTATATGGTTGTGGATGTGATAGTGTTGAAAATTAAGCCATTCAACTGTAGAAATTGAAACAAGGTTCATGTCCTCATGAATAACAAACTTCTTATACTGGATTTCCAAAATGAACTAGGGTTTGAAAAATTGGAAAATAATCTTCTTTCACATTAACAGCTCACTTATGCCTTATAGGAGAAAACAAACAATCAATTTTATCCTCTAGAAGATTGCACTAATTAGGGAAAATCAAAATAATAAAGAGGAAATAAGTTCCTAATAGGACTTAAAACTTATTTAAACTAATTACTACTTTCTATAGAGTTTTAGGTAATTAGTAGTACTAACATCATAATAATTACAAAAATCTTCCATTCAAGACCTTGTTTTATATCATCCTCCTCTAGCTAGATGAAAACTCAACCTTGAGTTTTGAAGAGATAAAGCATCAAGATTAGAAAGTTTCAAGCACCCACTTCAATATTTTTTTTAAAAAAAAATTTAGACATAATTTGTTTGATACTTAGAAACTTGGATAAAACAATAGATGTTATAGAATCATGAAGCCAACAACGTAGATCAAAATCATTACAAAAATTATTCTTAAAACAGTTGTTGTGGATGAGAGAAACTACATTGAGTGTCAATACGTCTTATCATTGCCAGGGCAGAAGAAACTTCAAAGCTTTGAATCTTCTAACAGACAGGCGTTGGCCAAAGCTTTAAGCTCAACATGGCAATTCCATAAAATATCCAATAAATTTTCAGTTTTTTAGTTTAGAAACTGAATCATACCTAATCTCTAGTATACAATAATTATAGCAAATATACGACCTTTTAAGAAAGTATAGGCCCAATGAGCGAAAAAATGAAAGTTATGATGCTACCAATAGTAATCAAGCTCACACGAAATGCACAAAGCTTGCAGTTAAACTAAACTCCAACATACTGCAAAATAACTTACATAGAGTGTTGGAACAGCTGCAATAACAAGGGCTGTAAAAGCCACTGATGTCTGCATTTAATGAAAATGAAAGAGATTAAATTTTCGATTTTAAATTTTACAGCCCAAGACAATGTCTTTTTTCCCGGACATTTATACCAAGCAAGTCCAAGCCAGATTATTAAAGATACAAATTCTGAAATAGAAACAAAATTCTAATTTTCTTAAGAGTTTTCAATTTTATTCTCAACTTCTCTTCAGAACCACAATTAATCAAGTCTCCCATAAATTACTCCTAAGTATCATCAATTTAAAAGTACTCATAACAGAGCTGAACTTTATGCACAACTTCACTTGTTTGTCAGTGTAACAAAACATTAATCCTTTTTTGCAAACAGATTATTCTCCTTGACGTATCTTTACATATTTTTAATCATTCATAAATGCAAATACAAAAATCTTTACCCATATATTTTGTCTTGAAAAACCAACACCAACATGTGAAAAGCTTAATCAGGTAAAAGATCTGTCAAAAATTTTAATTATTACAAGTCAAGATGACATGCACAATCACATACGAGTGGCCGTAACCACCAAGAAATATAACCCTAGGCAATTCCACATTTTTCATAAATGCCCAATTTATCATACAGTTCAATTTACCAAATTTACTTGATACTGGAGAGAACAAATTCTGCCCATTGCAGAATTTAAACCCAGAAAACAACTCATCCGATCAAAACCTCAAAGATATACTTTGAAAAAAGAAAAATGAATACAACTCCCCCATTAGAGAATTCGAAATTGTTACCTTCCTTTTTAGGAACAGAGATTTTAAAGTTTTCAAACCTATTAAACACAGCATTCAATCAAAAACCAGAAATACGTGCACACACCCACACACTTACATAGAAATCCAATATGCATAACTATTAGAATAAAAGAATACCGTGCAAACGATGAAGGACGAGAGAAAGAACGCTTTCTCACTCAAGCTCAGTTTCCATGGCGGAAGAAACGAGGGCAGAGTTGGGCTACCGACTTGAACTTTCCAATCACTCCGACATGCGTCTTCCTCCAATGAAACCGAATTATGTAATAACTCATTGGGACTGGACAGCTCGTGGGAATTCGATGGTTTCGTAGGAACCGAAGAGCAAATTGGGATGAAACGGGGGGGCTTTGCTTTTGGGTTTCTGAAGAAGAATTTGTGTTTTCTGGGGAAATGATTTGAATTTTTCAGAGTAAGTGAAGAAAATGGAGTAAGAAAAGAGTATGAAGAATTGGCTGTTAGGATATGTTTCATACTCGAAAATCCTTTCTTCCCTTAACTTTGCTTTTGACAATCTCGTAGAGCTTGAAGCAACAGTGCTATGAATCCACAAGGAACCGGAGAATAACCAGAGACAGTAAAAAGTGTTTGGCTCCGCGGTCTCCGCTGCTCCGTGTGCGAATTAGTTTCTCCGTCCGTCCAAACAATCCGTTGTGTGTTTTTTCTTTTTTCAACCGGTCCTAATTTATAATATGTTTTTAAACATATTATTAAAATAATTATTTAATAAAAATATTTTCATTAAAAATTATTTATTATTTAATAAAAATAGTTTTATAAGTAATTATAAAAATACTATAGATTTCATGAATCCATCCGTTAGCTCATTCTATACGGGAAAATTTATTTATGTAATTATTTTAGCTTTTTGAATTTAATAAAAAATAAATTTTAACCATTAATTCATTTATTAATTAAACAATTAAAATTTAATTTTAAAAATTTTGGATAACGTTAAAGAAATAGTCCAACATATTTATACTTGTGTTTATAAATTGGATCTTACAATTTTCTCCTACACGTTTCTTGGAACATATTAAACTGCATTCTACCACCTTAAAGCTGTAGGTTTAATCCATCAATTATTTAATATAACATCAAAATCTGAAATATAAATCACAAGAGAATCAAGATAAGTTCAAATACAACACAAACCTCACACCTTCAAATCTTTTTCTTCAGTACTACATATATATATTTATATATATATATATATGTAAGACATACTTTACCTCACTCTCATACAACTCTTTTACATCATTTAATCAAAATACCCTTCAAATTCCAGTCATGCTTTACCTCATTCTCACCTCTTCTTTCTTCTTTCTGCAAATGCTTGTCATGCAGAGTTGGGAATATTTGCAAGGCCTTCTGTTAAAACTGGCTCCCAGCACAAGAACTTGTCCCATATCAACCGCAAGTTGTCCTTGAGCATATCAGAGATCGTGCTTTCTTCGACCTTCTCTTCCTAAAAAGCTCGGAGCACGTAAAAATTATTACGAATTTCTAAAGTTATTGCTCTGAAACAACTAAAAAAAGAAAGCCAGGCGATAATACAATATGTTCAATTTACAGTACAGAATCAATATTGAAAGATTTTTAAGTTTTCACTTCATTTCTGCAATTTTTTTAACTTTTGCAAGAAAGCAGCAAGAGCTCAAGGCCTCTGATGAAAATAATTTATCGCTATATAAATTCAAATTCTTTATGAAAATCTTAAAATGGAAATTGAAAACTGTAATTATATCTATAAGAGATTCTACTTAAACCCCTCAAATGCAAAAGCAAGTGAAACTAATTCACAGCCACCAGAGTTTTGTGGAACCATCATACATAAAGAGAACACTGTAATAGGTTCAGAAATATGAAAGGCTGGCATAGAACTGGGAGAAGTCAGCAAGGACCGGAGATTTGTTTTCACAAACGACAAAGCCAAGGTCAAGAAGTTGGTCTATGAGCAGTCATTACCTGCATTTTCGAAACAAGTCCTTTCAGCTTCAGAGTAATCTCCCTAGTATATTCCCCACTGCCGGTCCTAAAATCAAACCGATCAGCTTGTCTTACCTTGAGCCTCATTGTAGGACTACTATAAGACTTGGCTATTGTGTGCCAAACTCCACAAACACTAAATCTGTCTCCAGTAGATGCCTTCCCCAGGGGCCATCTCAAACCACCTTTCACATTTGGATCGAGAATTGCTGAATCAATCAGTTGCTTAATACTATTCATCTCATCATCCTGCAACAGTTCGTATTATCCATCTGTTCATAAGACTTATTCTCGTAATTAATAGTTAAGCTAAAACTCTATGACGTGGTAAATCTACATGTTGCGGGAAAATTCCATCCAAGAGGAAAGCAGTAAGGATTTGGAGAAAAAGAGATTAGAAAAAATTGCATCAGTATTTATGAAAATTGAAATTTCACGCTGTTCAAGCCTTTCCCTTCAGAAAATAAGAGGATGTCAGTAAATTGTTGAAATGATATGCACAGTAACTCTGTTATAGCAATTTGACTTACAGTCAAAGCAGTTAGGATTCTCTTGCTGCATAACATCAGCCTCATGTCTAAATTCTTACCGAGGCATGATATGTCCGTGACAAAGTAACGCACTTGGTTTAGCTCAACCTACAAATGTTTTGACATAAGCTTTTACGGAAAGTTAAAAAGGAAATACAAAAGAGACAAGAAATTCAAAAGGTAATAATACAAGATTAATCAACAAAATATTGCTTTCATTATATAAAACTTTTACAGCATCAGGAGCAAAAAATAAAAAAGGATAGATGTTTTAGGTTGATAAAAAAGCAATAAAAACGAGAAAGATCAAATTTAATGCTTACAATTTTAGCAGGGAAGAAATGAGGAAACTTGCCTTGTATAGAGTGAGCTTGTTATCTTCCTTTATGCTACATTTGCATGAAATAGTTGCTTCCGGTTGTATCTTATCAGACAGCTATACAAGATTTAAAACAAAAAAACTCGCATAAAAGGCTTAATGTATTAAAGAAAGAAAAGAAAGCAAACTGACAGGAAGGTGGTACCTAAATGAATCAAATGAAAAAAGTATATTTGAAGAGAAAAATAAATAAAAATTGGGAAAAAACCAACAATGCAAGAGATACCTTCACATGGTATATATCCTTCTCCTCACAAGAATCTCCTATATTTCGGAAAACTCCACTTAAAACATTTTCCATGTAAGAACTAGGAATATTTGTATAAAACAATCGCTTCAACTTTTTCACGGTTGTTTCAGAAATTGGAGCCTTTTGGATATTTGATAAGTTTGTTGAGGGGCCCCTGCATCAAGAAAATTAATACTCCATAAAAATTGCAACTTACACTTGATTGAAAGTAATGAAGTGAAATACATCTTTGATCACCTGGTATTGCAGAACCCCAAAAACTTTTACTGAACATAATATCATCAAATGAAGAATATGTGAAGCAGTACACAACCAAATGAAATTATCATATTTGTTAATGATATTATGCTCAGCATGGGGCAACAAATTAATCTATTCTGAATCACATGAGTGATAGAAACGACTACACCACACAAACATCTAACAACTAGGGTAAATATATTCTTTATACTCAATTTGTTATTAAATTTGTCAAATAGTTTGTGTATACCGCTACTCCTTCCATGAGATCTTCACTAAACTCGAATTATTATGAGGAAAAAAGCAGCAAATGAATTGAAACATGATAGCAAGCAATAAAAAAGAAGAATCAATCAGATAACCTGGGTCACTTACCCACGGAAAAGAATTCTGCCAAAGCGAGCAACCAATGTTGGTTTTACTTCATCAAGCTTTTGGCAATCTGTTTGATTTTTGAGGGCTTCAAAGGAAGACAGTAGGTCTTGCAGCACATTTTCTGCTATCGATGCCCATGGGCTTCTCAATATGTCTACTCTCGGGTCATTATTCTCTAGAAAATTACATGACAAGGTGAATGGAAGTAAGTTAACATCTCCACATAAGCAACAACTAGTACAATAAAATAAAGATTACCATGAGAATGGAAAATTACTGACCTTCATCTAGATGACCATTGACTAAAGCAAGAGGTTTTCCTCCTATTTTTTGCTCAATAAATTCCACTGAAACTGGCTCAAGCTGAACAGATGAAGGAATCTGGTTATCATCGGTCAGGCCAACAGGAAACCATCTGGAGACAGCATGATCGGCATATATAATCTTTCCACTTTTATCAGTACTAGATTGAGAAGCCTTCAGATTAAGATTCCTTTTAAAACGAGGAGCAAGCAATTCTGGAGTCGGTGCTGGTCTCCCTGAATCATCTGAGTGCCGCTTGTGTGGAGGAACATAAGCCATTTACCAAGGATTGATTATGTCTGACACCACTGCTTTTACCAAAGCACCATTCACTAAAAGAACTCATATATGACTTCAAATATCATATTCAAAAAATATAACAAGTGAAGAATAGTTAAACACAACCACATTTTTACGGGAAGTGCAAGCAGTAATTACAGTTTAACAATCCACATTACCTTAGCCTACCCATAAATATATTATTTTCTGCAGTTTAACAACTTATCTACCAGTCATAATTTTAATAACGTATGTCATTATGTCTATATCAACTCCAATACTTGAACTACCAACTATGTTTTGGCTGGATGGTGGACCTGTAAGGACATAACTTCGAGTAGCGGACTTACCTATGACCTCGTTAGGAGCTATGTTATGTATATTATCTTTAAGAGATTATGTTACTATTATTGTATAAATATCACCTATGCATACATTCTAATTCAAAAGAAAAAAAAAACAAACTCAAACTACTTGAACTAAGCCTATTCACATATATGATAATCAAATTTTGATTCTTGGGTTTTCGAACAAAAAATTATTCTGGTTTTGCATGGTGCAAATTCCAACCCTTTCATTAATCACAAGCACAATCAATGGAATCAACAACACCTTCCTTTATGGTAGTATCACAAAACAAAAACAGAACTTTTAAAAACCCATATACTACTGGATACTATCAGACAATCAATCCGCTAGTCTTTAATTACGCGGGTTAGCGCACGTGTTAATTTGCACTCAGCTGATCATTTTCCTGAAGTTTCCCAGCATCCAAACACAGGAAGAAATTCGAAACCAAATGCCCTTTCTCGGCCAAAACATAATACTAACAATGAAATTACGTGCAAAAGAAAACACAAATTTAAACAGATGATTACCGATCGCGAAGAAAAAGAAACCATTACCCATGATAAACCTCCTTAAACCCTCCGCTGGACTACCAAAAAAAAAAAAGAAATAAAGGAAAATGTTCTAAAATTCCCATTTCCCATCGTGGAATCAAGATACCACCAATCTGAACCCAGTTAATTCAGAAGGACGCCGATCAAATTGTTGGCAATAAAATCTCAAAAACCCAGAAAGATAACAAGTTCATTTGAGTAATTGCTTAAACAAAAAACTTACCAGGGATAAAAATTAACAGAGGAAGATAACCAGTGATGGAAAGAAGAAGGTATATATAATAGAGTAGAAAGTAAAGTTGCTACAGGAAGCTTCCTTTTAGGTCGTCTGAATTTTCTTCAATGGAAATTTAGTGGCTTTATTCTTTCTTTAATCTTGTCTGCGCCTAATTAAACCACCTCGGTGCAAATTTATCGTCATTGTCTGCGCTTAATAACTGTATTTGAATGATCCTCAAAATAGGGCAATAATATTGCTTTATTCTTAAGCTATCAATAACATATTTAAATAAATTAAAGATAAAATTGATTTTTTTTTTTGGAATTAAAGATAAAATTACAATTTAATTTTTAAATTATTTTTAAAGTGATTATGTTTTATTTAGAGATGAATATTAAGGCGAGTTGTCCGCCAATCTACCTCAATACATCTTAGAAAAAATAAGTAAAATTTCATACTTAATGAGATACGAGACGAATGCATATAAAAAATTATAAGTCTATAATTAATAAATTTAGATTTTTTATTTTGAGAGTCTCAATGTTAAAATATTTAAAATATCTCTTACGATGATTTTTTTTTTCTATAAAAAAATATCAAGAAAATTTATTGTTATTTCTTGTTGAGATCAAAGAAGATAAATTATTGATGTAATTATTGAAAAAAAATTACATATCATAATGTTAAGAAAAGTACCATAAATTAAGTGATTTCTCTTAATATATTGAAAAATGTTCGAAATAAAGTGAATCAACAATGTCACATAAGAATACGATGATTTTGAAATTTTCTACGTGCTATATTGGATGTGACGGGTCATTATAATATTTTATTATTAATTTTTTTAAAAAAATATTTAAAGAGATTTATTCGATATTTTGTAAGTAAATTGGTGACAATGAAAAAACTCTCAAATGGGTTATTCCTTATGCATGATTTTGGGTTTTGTCTTTAAAATTTTTCTTTTTTAGTAGGAGAGGAGATATGATGGTGTAAGATCTATTTTATCAAAGTACATGTTTTTACTCTTAGAATAGTGTAAATTATATATTTAAGACAAGTCACGTTTTCTAACTCAAAAAAAAAAAAAAATTGTGATTATGAAATGAGTTTCATAAAGACAAGTTTAAATGGATATAATAAATTCATTAAAAGACAATATATATATATATATAAAGTTTATGACTCATTTTCCTCAATTTTTTATTTTTTAAATTTATGTATATATATATATATATTTTTATCTACTTTATATTTTTAAAATAAGAAAGAGATCGAACAAAATTAAAGTATCCGGGTGATAATCATATAAGTGGTTGGAAATAGAAAAATTACTAATTATTCATTTTACAACAGTCTCGGTGTGTATTTTTTTTTCGAATTCTTATAATATTATTAAGCTTTTTAGATCTTGAAAAGAATATATATAAAAGAAAACCTATATATCAACTTGAAGAAAATTATAAGGGGAGTCACCACCTAAATAAAAACTCAAAAACAAATTGGGATTATGCATATTAATTAAGAGTATATAATCTAGTAAAAGCGTTAAATACACTATTTTTACTTATCCCAAAAAAGTTTACTAAATAATGCTACTATTTTAAATGGTTTAATTATTATATAGTAACTTAAGTTATAGGTTATACACATTACATTCTATTACTGATATTTTAATATATAAATCCCATTGTATATATGGCTTAGAAATTCATATATTTTTAATCCATGTTTAATGAGAAGTGTTATATGTATATATAATCCTTACATTTACATGTACACTAGTTATATATATTCCTTAGTTTCTATACTTTTAAGTTTTTTTTTTTTGTAATTTATTATTTAAAATTTGTTGTGTCAAAATCAAAGTTTAATATTCAAATCTCGGTTACCTCATTTTTTTTTATATATAAATTTCAACACAAAGTATAAAAAAATTTGTTTGATCTATGTTTTCAACTCAATATAACATCTAAAAATAATCGATTAAACTATTTTTTCTTTTGAATAACTTATCTCAACTTATAATATCTTAACATAAACATTTAAATCACACATTTATAATTACTCAATAAACAGTAATCCAGAATAATTAAATTAAAAGAAAATCACCCATTGATCACAATGTTCCATTCCACAAATCCATACCCAGTATCCAATCATCCCAATCCCACTGGCTAAAACCCTCAATTCTATCATCTCTAACATCTTGAATCTTGAAATCCTCATCGCACAAATTTTTGGCTTCAAAGTTTTGATTGCCTCCATTTGTACCATCTTCATCGGCCTGCAACTGCTGATCACTGCATTCTGCTTCAACTACCAGTTGACCAGAGCCCTCCATTGGTGCTGTTGATGTGCTGATATCTTGTTGTTTAACTTGTGAGATTTCTCTAATTGATTTGGAATTGGTAGAAGAATTTGGTTTTGCATGAATATTAGTATTTTTTCTAGTGATTTGTTTGTGTTTGTTTTCATCTTGTGAATTGAATCTTCTACTCAAATGGTAATTCCAATAGTTCTTCACATCATTAGCTGTTCTTCCTGGTAGTCTAGCAGCAATTAGTGACCACCTGGACCATTAACATCCATACATGCATATATATATATATATATGAATATATACGGCAAAATTAAACAAACCCTAATTAGTTTCTTCTTCTTCTTCTTAAATATATGTACGTATTATTAAGAGCATATACATATTGGATTTGGGAAGAAGATGATTTACCTGTTACCAAAAAGTCTGTGGAGCTCAATGATTTGATCCACTTCATCTTCTGCAAAACTCCCTCTCTTGATGTTTGGACGTAAATAGTTTAACCATCTCAGTCTACAGCTTTTCCGGCATCTGTTTAGACCTTGATAACCATGTAATATACATCCATCATTATACATATCTCTTTAACTCTTTCAGTAAATAAAAAAAAGACCCAAAACCCCATTATTATAATAATACTCATCTGGGTTAAGATTCAAATTCATCTAAAACAAATTCGATCACTAATTTTAAAAACATGTTTTATGTTATTGAACTCTACGATATGATCTTATTTTCGATGTGGGACTCCAATATCACGTTTTATGTTGTGGGTCATATATTTACATATATGTGTGTGTGTATGTATGCGTGTGTGTGTATACATGTGATTTACCAGCCAATAGAGGGATGAGATGCCATTTCCCTTCTCCATATTGCATTACAGATTTTCTGAGCAAGTAATCTTCTTCTTTAGTCCATGCAGCTCCTCCCATAGCTTTACTAAGCTTGAAAACCCTGTCTGATCACAACCTGCAACTGTGCAAGCGGCTACTATAAATACCACTTACTGATTTACAATTTCACTCTCACAACAATTAATAGTTAATAAAAGAAGACAATTACATACATATATATGTAGAGTTATATAGATACTGCATGCAGAGATGGTGAATGGTCCATGGCTCTTTCCAAGCATGAAACGGATTTATCTTTGTTTATGATGAAGCAGCTTCAATAGACACTCATGGTGGTCCTCATTATTTTTTTTCAATTTCTTAATCCGCCTACTAATTTTTCATTAGTTAATAAGCTAATACTTAATCATGTGATATTTATCATTTTCAACCCTTTGAAGATAACCTAAAGAACGAAATTTTTCCAGACAAGAGCACAAGAACACACATGATTTTCTCTTTCAACATTAATGATCCGTGTTCTTTCCACCCTCTATATAACTGATCATTATTAACTATACATAATACATATATATGTATATATAGTTCTAACAAAATATGTACAGAATGTAAATAAATGAAGATCAATGGTCCAGTAGACATTTATGTTTGAATAATTTGATGAAACAAAGGTCATTCTCAAATGGGAGTAACTGATAATGTTGCGTAAATTTGGAATTTTGATGCCTTTCTTAAAAAAAAAAAAGGGGGTATTAATTAGTACAACACATAAAATTTGAGACGGGAAGAATTGTATTTCCTGGTATTGTCTTCATCAGAGTTGAAATTTACGGGTAGATCTTATCCCGTTTTGATTGGAAGTTTCTATATCAAGATAACTAATAGTGACTAAACAGATCGAGTTAACCTTATTCTTCTGTTTTCATTATGTTAGCGGCTACCAAATAATTTGTTTGAAGTAATCTCCAATTATTATAAGAAAAACAAATATAATTTATGACGAGTTTAGTGATGAAATTTGTAATTGTTCAATGGACTATCAGCTAAATATTACTATAGGCATCAACGAAATGATGTCTGGCTTCGATCACGAATTATCAAGTGTAATACGCATGCTTAGAATTTTGTCCACATCAATTTTTGTATATAGAAATAAATAAAAATTTATTTATAAATTAATTTAATTTAATTTTTTGGTTGAATTTATTAAAAAAATAAGTTATAGATGTAATCGAAAATAATTTTAGGAGAAATGAATAAAAATTTAGGTTTGGATGTTATTTTTGAAAGAAAAATTAAAAACAAATGGTTAAAGTGCAAATAAAAAAAATTATATCACGTAAGACCACTCAGTCAGCAGTCCCGACAAACCAGAGCACATTACATGGTAAGACACGCTGATGTAGGTGCCACATGGGATGTCACGCAAGCGATTCGCACACCCCGCGATTGGATGGCCCAAGGTCAATTCCGCACACGTGAACAGCCTGAATTTATTTCTCCCTTAAATGCGATCAGACGGTCGAGATCAAATTGCGATGGACAGTGCATATTCATTTTCTCCTTAGACGTGATCGGACAAACGAAATTGATCGCGATTGACGGTTCAAATTAATGCAGGATGAATATAAATATCTCGCATAACACAGAAATCGAAACTCTAACCGCCAACCCCCGCCAGAGAAGAAAAATCAGACATCAGAGAAAGAAATCGACTATCGCTGCACCAGAGCCACCGTCGACCGATAAAAAATGTAAAAATTTCTTCTACCTGCTCAGAATTCGATTCCGAGTACCTCTATGGTCAAATCAAAGCAAAAGAGACGGCGGGTGAGTTGAAAATCGCGAGCAAAGTGCAGCAGAGCCGCTGTAGCTAAAACTCCTCCGATGTGTCCATTCTCAATTCCTGTTTTACGTGATTTTTTTATCATTGTATTTACTGTCCTTTTCTGCGAAAATTAACTGAAGAAAGAATCTCAGTCGCGAAAGAGGACCGGCAGAACCGCTGCACTTGAAGGTTCCCCCACCGGTGGGTTTGCTTTTTTGTAATTTTTCAACCAACTGAAGCCCATAACGTATTTTTCTGCAAGGATACGGCCAAAACTGGCTAAAATTAGTCAAAACTGATCAGAGTTGAAATATAGGTGTAGATCTTATCTGGTTTTAATTGAAAGTTTCTATATCAGGATAACTAATAGCAACAAAACAGATAGAGGTAACCAAATTCTTCCGTTTTCGTTCTGCTAGCGGCTACCAAATAATTTGCTTTTGTGACGGGTTTAGTGATGAAATTTGTAATTGTTCAATGGACTATCAGCTAAAGATTACTGTAGGCATCAACGAAATGATGTCCGGCTTGGATCATGAATTATTGAGAGCATTGATGGTGGATAATCCATTGATAGACTTTATGCTTTTCTCACACAACTAGTTGGCAAACCAATTGTAACAGCAACGGCTATTTTTCTATCGGTAATTCTGTAATTAGTGACAAAAAGTCAATCGAAAATTTAGTTGGTATTTTCGAGTTATAATCAACAGATTTTGTTTTTGTTGCTAATTTTGTCGTAACTTTATCAACAGAAACTTGTTGGATTATGAATATGTCAGCAGCTAATATTATTTGACAAAATTTCAAATATTTATCAATAATACTTACTGTTGACATTTCGTCGATAATTTTATTAACAATTGATTCCCCTTCCGGCTGGATAGGCAGAGTTGAATTCTTCATAATTTCTTCATTGAGAAATTTGAAATTCGTAGTTAGTATATTTGCAATTGTTGCTGGTGCACCAGAGCAGCATCATTCGCCGCGAATCTGTTGCTTTACTTTCGAAGAAGAAGAACCTATACTGTGATTGATTGATGGATTATGAGAATTTGAAGTAGAAAAAATTCTCCACTTCATATTATTGAAATTTAAACAGTTATCACGAGATTGAATATTATAAATTTATTGTAAATCGCAAATATCTTTTATTAATAACATCACCGGAGTTAATTTTTATATTTTTATTTAATTTTATTGAAATTGAATATAATAAGACAATAAAATAATTTATTTTTATTTAATTACTTATAAGTGACACTATTTTATTTCCTTATTTTGAAAACATATCATTTGGAAAATATAATTATGAAATTTAAAAATTTTAATAGATTTAATTTTCATGCATTTTTGGTAATTAAGTAATTAAGAAAAATTTAAAGCTTTTTATAATAATCAGAATTTGTTTCTTTTTATAAATAAAATTCAGTTGGGTCAAGCCTTAGTGTCAACTCAGAGAAAACTAGGCCCAGGTTGTAGGTCAAATTGTTCAAAAGTTGTACCACTAACATAAAATTTATTTGTATAAATCATAATTAAATGTATAGCATAAGTATGCTATGATGATAAAAAAAAAAAATTCTTATATTCCAAATTACAATAAAATTTATGAAATTTAAAATTGTATTGTTTTAATTTCATATGAGGTTTATATATAAACTTGAATAATTTTATTATTTTAATTTCGATAATTTCTTAAAATATTCTTGGATTTGTATTTTATATAGTGTTAGAATTATTATGAATAATTTAAAATTTTAAGTTGAAAAAAGTACATTTTAATTTGGTACTAAAACATCATAAAATAAAAAAGTGAAAAGAGTTTAATGAAATTACCACAAGATTAGAATGAATGATTTGGTACCCAAAAAGTTGACAGCTTAATTAAAGCATCTTCCTTAAAGTCTTTTTCTTTTCCAAGAACATTTGATGTTACTACTTTATTATGTCAATATAATAACTTTGGTTAGTTTTTTAAAAAATAAATTATTAAATTAGTTTTTAAAATTTAAATGTTATTACAATTTTAACGAGTGAAAAATTTTTTATCTACCACCCACTTCGTGAGTAATAAATATAAAATATATAATATTAAATATTTATTAATTAAAACTTAATTAATTTAAATAAAGTTAAAATGAAATAATAAAAAAATTATTAATTATATATATAATGGAATGAGCGCAAGATATGTAAATCATTAAATTCATATTCGTTGCATACTCATTTGGAGTTCAAAATTTGGACTTGTTAGTTTTATAAGTCTATTAAGAGTTCAACATTTGGACTCATCTAATAACTTATTTATAACAATAAAATATACCCAAATTTTAAAACTTGGAAATGAAATTAATTAAATGACAAGTTTATTTTTTTGAAATCCCATTATTCTAATTTCCATGCCTGTCTTTCCATGGTCGGTTGTTTTCAAAAGCAAACAAGCAACAAAATGAGTAGTTCAGCCCTGTTTTCTTCACTCTGGCATCGAGTAACTTCCAGTTTTGACTTTCAAAAAAGAAAAAGATTAAGTTTTTTTTTTTTTTTTTTTTTCCTTTCCTTATTTCTCTATGGAATTGACTCTTTTAGGAAAAGGGTTTGAGTAAAAAAATCCAATGCACTAATATTCATGTTTGCAATGGGTCTAATTTCTACCTTTGTTTTTCCCATTTCACATTCCCCAATAACTTGATTTGAATCACAAGTCAAGATTTGGTAGCACAAATCACTCCACGAGGTTACTCAAATGGAGAAAAGAACGGGGAGAGAGGGGAGGGGCCGGTGTTTTCTCTCTTTTTTTAAATTATACTTTTCTCTGCAAAAATGGAAGTTTCTTACTTGCCAAACAAAACCCTTTTCTTTCCTCAACTCAATTTGTCTTTCCTCCATGGAAATTCACCCCCTCCCCAAGTTGTGTCCTTTTTGATGAGTTACATAACAAAATGAAATGGGTATTTTGTTTCATTGACTGGGGGTGTAAAAATACATTATGAATGACAATTTCTTGCTTGCCAAACAAAACCCTTATATTTCCTCAACTCAATTTCTCTTTCCTCCATGCAAATTCATCCCCCAAGTTGTCGTCTTTTTCATGAGTTACAGAACAAAATGAAATGGGTATTTTGTTTTTTATTGTTTGGGGATATAAAAATACATTATGACTGGTAGTTTCATGCTTGCCAGACAAAATCCTTTTCTTTCATCAACTCAGTTTCTCTTTCCTCCATGGAAATTCATCCCCCAAGTTGTCATCTTTTTTATGAGTTACAGAACAAAATGAAATGGGTATTTTATTTTATTGCTTGGGGATATAAAAACATATTATAAAATATCATATCTTGACTGTATTATACAAGATTCCATTACCATTTCCATTTCCATTTGAGCTTCATTTTCCACTAATCTTCACCCACGAACCTATCACGTTTAAGCATCAAGAATATGGAAAAACAGAGAGCTATTATTGGTGATGGCGTTTGAAGCAATCAATAATTAGTCTATGAGACTCGTTATAGTCCAAAATTTTTAGGTAAAGTCTTAGTCTTTTTTAAATGGGTTTATCTAAAGTTGAACCAACCCATTAATCAAATTATTTTAAACTCAATTCTTTTTCAAGCAATTGTTGAATATCCCACCTCATATAGATATATACCCACACATATATATATAGAGAGAGAGAGAGAGAAAGAGAGTAAAAATTACATAATTTTGGTTTAAACTTAATTTGAAAAATGGAGTCTGCAAAGAGTCAGAAGTCCAAAATTAGGTTAAGATGTGGAAGGAAAAATTTGACCTGCAATTCAAAAAGTCGTTGTTCATGTCTCCTTTCCTTCCACCTTTATCTGTCTCTTCTCTTTATCGCTGCCTTTTTAATTACAGAAAAACAGAGGGTAGCTTTTAGTGGAGAAGGCACCAATTCAACAGTAAGCCTGTAATTGCCATACAGCCATTATAATATATAATATGTACACTGCAGACATGAAAGCTGTTTTTACTCTCTTTGTTTTCCTGCAGGCAAAAGTTTTTTTTTTTTTTTTTAATTTCTATATTTTATTAATCAAATTATATGATCAGAATGACAATATATATATATATTGTTTACAATATAGGGAAATTATTCATAAAAGTTCTTCATGCATATCAGAGTCAAAAGACACATACCATATCATTTATGAGAAGTTATTCACCAGACATCTGAATATGTTGATGGAGACCTAGTTGTAATGAAAAATCAATGTTCATTTATTTTTTTTATAGTAAGTTTGTTGAATTGAGACACGCCAATTATATAAAAAGAAGTTCTTGATTTACTGAACAAGTGTAGTATGCACATTTGTACAGTGATTTTTCTTAAAAAAGTAAACATACATTTAAAAAACTATCCATTTCTAAAATAACATTGCGGTGTCTAATATTTAAAGCGAATTATAAAAAACTATCGAAGACCTTCAAAATTTAGTCTGCGGAATCAAACAACTACCAATCTTTCCGTTAAAGCTCTCAATGCACATTCCATTCTCATATCTGATAAGACCAACACAGCAAGAAATTTTGATGGTAGCACGATATACACCATTAGTGTTCACTTTGTCCTACTCCGTAAAAAATTTTTGTTAAGCGATAAAAAAATATTTTATTAAAAATATGATTTATTTTTTTTATTATTGTATTATATATTATTAATAATTAATTTATAATATTTAATTTAATAAAATTAAGAATATAATTTATTAATATATTAGTGAAATTATAAAAATTAATAAATTATTATTATATATATATATATTTAATTTCTGAATAAAAAGTATTTTATAAAAATTGATGACTCTCACTTTTTGTAACAGTTAAAGCTCCCAAACCTATGTGAACAAAAAAACCTGCAATGGAGAATGGGGGACCCGCCTGTCTGTCTACCGCGTGAAACCAGTAAAAATTATTTATTTATATTCTTATAGTAATTAATGATTTTTTTATTCGTTTATAAATATAATAAATTCAAATTTAACTTACATTTGTTAACATAATTTTATTAAAAGAATTAATACATTAAAATTTTAAATTATTAAATAGAATATTATAAAATAATTACTATTAATTTATAATATGTACAATAATATACATATACGGTACTGCTTTATTGTACATATTTATATATTAGCCTGTGTCATTTATAGAAGAATTTTGAAGTGTCACAGGCTTAGATTTCCAAATATTTACGCAACCAAACTGATACACATGTACTAAAGAAATAAATACTTTTTTTATAATTTATTCATATATTATATTTTCAATTTTAAAATTAAAAAAAAAAATCTTACTTTGAAATTTATGTTTAATAAATTTAAATTTTAAAAAAACAAAATCAAATCATTTCCAAAAAATTTCGGCTTTAAATCTGGTGAGAAAGTTTGACAAAACATAAGCCCCCTAACTTTTTCTTTCTCATCTTTCTTCTCTCCTCTTCTTCAAGTACTGTGCTCCAACTGTTTTCCATAAAAGCAAACTCCAAACTTTCTCTCTCTAAATTAACCATTCTTCTGTGTTTGCCTATACTTATACAGAATCTATATCTATATCCTCTGTGGGTTTTTTTTTTTTTCCAATCCCCATTCCCTATACCTTCTTTTAAACACCTTTTTGAGCAACTCCATCACCTTTACATACATTCCTTCCACCTTTCGCGATGGAACATGTAAGTAATTCTCTGCTCATACTTTTTTCTTTTTTCTTCCTGGGTTTGTTTTTTTCTTATTGAAAGTTTACTTTTTTCTTTTTGGGTTCTGGAAGGATCAGTACTACTACAAGAGAAGTGGGCAAATACCAGCATTTGGAGACTGGGATCATGCAAATGATCTACCAATAACTCAGTATTTCGAGAGTGCAAGACAAGCTGGTTTACTGAGGTTCAGTTCTTCATCTGGTGAATCAGATCCTTATAACTTTAATCGTCTTGCTGGCGGTGGAACTAATAACAATAATGATTTATATGCTGTTGATTTCAAGAAACATTCTCGTACTCTGGATCCTCCAAATAAAAAGGTTTGTTTCTTCAGCTCAGACCCTTTTTCATGCTGTTCTTTTACCTTTTTCTTTGTGTTTGTTCTTGTTTGGTTGGGGAGAAAGAGAGTATTATTTGCAGAGAAAGCAGAAGTTTGAACATGGAGTTTTGTGGTTGTTTGTAGAATGAGATAAAAGGATAAGCCAGAAATGAGAAAAAAAGAGAAAAATTTGGTCCTCAAAGTGACAGTCTTTGGAAAGTGTTGTCGTTTTGGCTTTACTCTGTACACTCCACTCATATATATATATATATATTTATATGTAAAGACGAGAAAAAACCCATGCTCCAAAATATAATATCATGAAATTTTTTAATTAACCCATAATTTTAGTTAGTGGAATAGCAAATTTTATTCTTGTTTATAAAGTTGTTATTTTAGTATTCTCGTTAATAATATCATGAAATTTTGGTTCAAAATTAATTTTTTTAATTAACCCATAATTTAATTAGTGAAAGGAGCAAATTTATTATTGTTTATGAAATTATTATTTCGAGTTGTTTATGTATTATCGTTAAAAGAATTGTTTTTTTTTATATTAATTTTATTATTATTGATGTACAAGAAATAATTAACGAATGAAACTTGTAAATAAAATTAAAATTATGGGAAAATTGCAGGTGAGAGTGGGGGAAAAGCGAGGCGCGCACGTCAAGGAGCAGAGAAAGCAAGGGAAGGTGTGTGACGTGAGTGAACCGGCAAGTAAAGGGAGTAAGCAGCTGCAAAACGACGTCGTGAGATCGAGATTGCCTGTTAGGCCCCACAAACCCGTCGATGAAGATCTCTACAAGATTCCTCCGGAGCTCCTCCGCTCTTCAAAACGGGTGCGTTTTGCCTTCCCCATTTATATAATTTTTATTTTTTAAAAAAATTATTTTACTCATAATTTGATTTTATATTTTATTCAAAATTTTCAAAATTTTTTTCTCTCAGAAAATTATGAATGTGTTTGTCATTATTGAGGGGTGGGGTATGTTTTTAGAAATATCAGTCAAAATGAGTGATTATTATGTTGAATGAATAAAAAATCACCAGATGCCAACTGAACCATTCAAATAAATTTTAATGTTGTTTTGCCGACTGACAATCCAGATGGGTATGTATGTATGTATTCTTCTGAAATGAATATATATGATATTGATCTTGCTTTTGGTATATATGGGTGTAATATGTATGTTCTTAATTCAAATAAATATAGTGGTATAACTCTTTATTTCTAATAAAAAAAAGTTAAAAGAATTCATGTGTCTTGAAATGTATATTACATATATAAATTTAAAAAAATTGGGTTATTAATTTAATTTAATTTAGTTTAATTTTTTTAATTTATTTGGAACTAATATATATTTGTAATATGCAGAAGAAAATGCCAGGACTATTCTCATGCTTGGTACCGGCCTGTGCAACTTGAAATGGGTTTGATTGATTAATACAGAAGGTTAAATATGTAATTTAATGTTTAATTTATTAGTTAAAAGTACATTAATTATTAGTAATATATGGTTTAGTTGTAGCTAAGACCAAACTTATTCATGGATGAGATATGACAGTGAGACAATATTATTGCTAGTGGTGAAATGCTCATCCTGCTTTTTATCTTCCTTGGACTGAAACCAATACAGAAACAAACCCTAATACTAAAACTGAAAGCAAATCTGACAATCCATCTATATGAATATTTCCTTCATCTTCGCCCTCAAACTCACTCTAATCTTTCCTCTTTCAATGGCCATCAGAGAAAAGTCCAACTTGGTATTATGGATGCTGGTGGTTAACGGGACATATCAGATGAGAATGTTTGGATTGAGAGAAACTAATCCAGCAAAAGAAGATACCAAAGTCTCTAAAATCCAAAACACTTTTAAATCTGTAAAATCCCAAATATCATTGTATGCATAATTCAACTTTGCTTCATATGTAACATCCACCTGAAGAAAGAAAAGAAATGTAAATAAAAAATAATAAAATTAGAATTTAGATGTAAATAAATCTGTAAAATCCCAAATCTGTGCTAGATCAGAATGGGTTCACCAAACTCATTTATTGAGTTTATTTTCTTTCAGTTTGACTAGATTTTTAGTGAAATCCAATCTTAATTGCATACAAGTACAAAATAAATAAATATACACTTTACTTACCATGAATTCATCCAGCAAAATTCACTTTTTTACCTTTTCGCTGGGCGCCCCCCCTACTTCCATGAATAAGTCGATTGAGTAGGTTCTTGCTTGCCCTTTTCTAATGAGGCAATTTGGCAAATATCATTGTATGCATAATTCAGCTTTGCTTCATGACCCAAAAACTAATCACAGAACAAAAAGCTGACAATGTAATTAAACCATTATGCAAAAAAAAAAAAAAAAAAAGATGGATTGCCTGTTTCTTGAAGACAAAATTTTCTATTTTTTACTTTTCAACAATGAAAAAGTACAGGGGTGACTTTTTCTGAACGGTAAAAAGGATAAAACTATAAAGGGGTAGTTGAATATTCATTTCAGAGTTAAATGAAGCTTACCTAGCATTTCATGAAGTTCAAATTTAGGTTCAAAGGATTATTCTAATTTCTAAACAAAATATAGTAAAATTATGAGTATGATTCGATATAGATCTTGAGTTTAAAATGCATTAAACACATGAATGGGTTGTCAATGGAAGAAGTTAGGACAAGATAATTAGTAGACACTGTTTAGGAAAATATCAAAATGTATAAATTAAATCGAAATTGTCAATAGCATTTAACTCAGATGACATAATAAAAATTGATCACTTCAATTGAAAAACAAAACCTATATATATCTTTAGTAGATTTGAAATTAGATATAATTAGTATTGTCTAGAATTTCCTTCTTTGTTTTTCTGCAAAAACTACCAGTTTTAAAGCAAATGAATTCTGAGTAATTTGGAAATGAAATATGGAAATGCATGTAGTAAGTTCCTTTCTCTTTCTCGTGTAGAAGATAAAGTAGATTCCTAAGAGCATCATCAGTGTTCTGCAAGTGGTAGTAATCTCTTATCGATAAGTTGTTGCAATAAGATGTTATGGAGGTCAGGATAAGCCTCAACCATTCTGTCCATTGATACCGATTCAACAATGGGGAAATGAGACCTGAAGACCCAACAAAAGGAAATTGGGAGCTGTGTTTAGTCAGGTGTCAAAACTCTTCGGCTGCCTGTTTTTGGTCGGAACAGAAGATGACAAGTTTCCCAAAATAAAAATCTAGTCTCTGACAGGTGTAGTTAAAAAGAAAGATAAGGGTTAAGGTGTGAGATGTGGGTTATGGAAGGGTAAGTATAGAAGAACCTACAGGAGAAGGGAAACCATATGGATCAATAGAAATTCAAGAATAAGGGAAGAGAGTGGGGGGAGGGGGAAGAACTGGAGGTGCATAGAACACTGAGGAAAATATTCTACCCACAAAAAAAAATCAAACTCTCACTTCTAAGTAATTTACTAAAAATGACTTTAGGATTATTTTTTTAAAACTAAAGTTCACTATATATGATATTACCTTATATAGACAACAAAATATTACATTCTTGTACGTGTTGATTAAAAGAAGATGATTTACAAAAGCAAGCTAACAAGTCTAAGGTAACAAATAAGTAAAGATTTCTAGAGATGAGGGAAGTATACCATATCATCCATTTTACATAAAAGTCACCAAGTTGCTGCTAATACTATGGCTACCTTGTTATGTCAATCAGCAGAATAGCTTCACCTGGGATGATATCAAACAATACAAGGTGAATACAAAGGAAGAAAGATATACCATGCTGTTTTTTTGTCTTTAGAAACAAAATCAACCAGTTTGGGAAGGCCGTCATCAAGATTTCTTTCAACCACCTTGTAACAAATGGTTCCTGCAAATCCCCTTCATAAGAACAAAATTCCTCGTGTTTCTGGCAGAGCCTGTTAATTGCGATCTTCGCATTTGTAAGCTGTAATCTAAAATTGCAACTACAAGCAAAATGAACTCAAAGTATGAATGTTGGAACTACTCCCATATGTGCAAGCAGCCTCCATCTAGAACTTGGAGAATCCCCCAAAAAGATACATCCTAAAAGAAGAATTAACTCATGAGAATATCATTTGAAATACAATAGCATATACAACTACTACCTTAGCCTATCAACATGCAGTATACTGTTCTCTGAAGAGTGTTTTGGAAATTTTTTGGCTTCCACAAGGTTAGACAAACAATTGACAACAGAAAATAATGATCAGCAAAACAGCAAAAGAATTGTTGGAATATCATCTTCATACAAACCATTTGATTCAGAAGGATCATATCTATCTTCAAATGCATTTTGTACTCTAGAGTTCGAACCATGATGGTCAAAGGTACTCCTCTGAAGGTTACGATTGGAAAAATATGCTGATCTATGGTTTTGACTAGAAGACCTTCTAACAGCATGATTATTGGTTATAGTTAAATTATCAACATCCTGTTCCATCCGATGACCGCTCTGCTCATATGACCTGCCATGACTTTTGCGTTTTTGCCAGCTTC